AAAGGTAGCTTCAGAAACGAGTCAAAGTGGGTAATTAAATATCCTCGACCATATTTAAATCTCGCACTTCAAACATTGGTCTCATATTTAATTATTTACTTTCTACTCTTGTAAGAAATATAACTTACCATTACAAAATTATTTTTCTACCATGTTTTGACAGGGCTTATCGTAGGATAGACATTTGACAATCATTTAAAAAGATTGACAGTTAAAATTGTCGTGAAATTAAATTATTACATTACAAAATTTTTAAACTGTTTTCTGCAACAAACACTTAATGAATAACAAAGTAAGATTCTTGCCACTACAAATGTTTGTCTGATACTTACCATAATGGTAAGCATAACTAGAATAATTCTAGGTACAGGTCAGTCTACAGGTAGTTTCCCATGTCGAATTAATGTTTTTTTTTTCAAATTTCAAACGGAATACCATACCATTTGTAGTGAAATTTATCTAAATATATATATATATATATATATATATATATATATATATTTATATATTTGAAGTAAAAAAAGGTAAAATCTGACGGAGACATGAGGCAAATTTACTCTTTTATAAAGTCAGTCGGTTCCCGATTGTGACGTTTAAAATATGTTAATGGGTTTAAGCCAAGACGTCTCCTTGCTGGGTTGAAGATAAACTTCTTCTTTGATTGAAAACTCGATTTACAAACAAGTTAGAAGTAGTGAGAACAATCAGTTCCACAAAGAGATGCATTCGTGAGTCTTAAATTTGCGAACAGTTCTTTTTGTGAAGTAAAGCATTTCTTCATAGCGTAAAATCCATTCAGCCTGCACTTAAAATAGATATTTGGTTTATGATATGTTTTTATTTATATAATTACCTAGCTCATAACTTTAAAAATGTATGTGAATCAGCTATATAAAATGCAGGGAAGTTCATCAAGAAAACTGTACAAAATATTTTCGTTGAATTAATATGAAAGATATTTTTTTTATCGTATTGTGTTCTTTGTAAACTAACCAAATTCTGTCAATATTCTGAAAAACATACGTAGCGTTACCTAATGCAGGTGGCGACTACGAACCATGTAGGATTTTAAGAATTATTACGATAGATTTACCACAATGTTAGTTAGGGGTGTTATTGTCCACACTGGTGTCAGATGATTGACAACATCATGATTTTAATGGAAATCAGTCCATTACAAAACTACGTCAGAGACGGAAACTCATAGTCGTACATCGCATGGAGACTTTTGCTGTAAAATATCTTTTTTAAACATTTAATTAGTACGTTTTCTTTCAAAGCGAACTATTGAGTGTATTACACTCTTGTCCTACAACAGTCGTAAATACCCCCACCAGCAAACCCGCAGAATAAGCGAATTTCCCATTTACCTTGTTGGATCTTTACAAAGTTTTCCCTTAAAATTGCCATATTCATGCCCTGTTGAAATAACATTGTTAACTGTATGATTACATAGGTTTGCTGCAACAGAAAGAAAAATTTCTTTTGGTAAAATATTAATAGTATAGTCTGAAATAAAAAAAAAAACTGCCTAATAAGATCGCCATATATCCCTAAACAAGCAAACCACACCGGTTTATTTATTTACCTAAAAAGATTTAATCTTTTTGTACATTTTATCTTGACAACGCTCCAACATACTAAATTATTTGTGCTTTCTCCGACCAATAAAATAGTTTGAAAAGAAATTGAAACATATTATGTTTTGTAGGTAAAAACTGGAAACCCCATTTTCATTCTATAAAAGTTTGTTCCCATAGTCCAATCATGCTGGTTCTGGAATTGGTTTGAATAAAGTTAGCTTTACACGTTTGCACCGAATTTCATTAAAATCTGATGTTTTATTTGAGTTATTTGCTAACGGACATGTTGGTCTCTAGGGACCTCAAAATGAAAAAGCAAATCGATCCCAAATCAAGTCAATCAAGTCAAAGACACCTTCGGTTATAGCTTATTCCCTTAACCTGGGAAATTCCCTAAAACGCTATCATGTATGACTGATAGATAGCACGGAACAACGACTGTGTTTTTCGCATTTCTTAAGGTCACGGCCTGGTTGAAAGGTGATATCGGTACAAATTGGCAATCCGCTACGACGTTCTATGATCGAAATGTTATCGTTGACTTCTCGGAAAATAAGATTGGGCTTACATAAAATAACTCAGCCACCGGCAATTGTAAACATCCATTCCAACATTTCAAGCTTTGTGTTACACTGCCTGGGTTTGATACGTGTGCAAAGTATTGTGTAGACCTACAACACGACGTCTGTCGTCAAAATAGTGTAAAATAACATTCCAAGAAACTCTGTTTAGTAACACAATACTTACGAAATAAAGAAAATTCTTCTCTTCAAAACCCCCTTTTGTATTTTTTGTTCGATATATCGAAAGTATTTATGACAATAGCATCAAAGCACATTTGTTCAAACCTTTGACACGGATCTAGATATTGTTTAGGAGCCTATTTTTTTACGGAGTTTGGTTTTAGGTCAAGAATTTTGACGCTTTTATACATACATTTCTGTGCGAAAACAAAGTTAATTTTATTTGATTTAGTTGTTATATTTTGTTACATTGATAGTTTTATCCATGTTTACAAAACACGTAAGGTGTTAATAACAAACTAAACATAGGCTGATTATATTCAGCTGGTGTCTATAAACACTCATTACCGTACAGTAGGCAGAAACCAGCTGTTTTCCAAAATAAGTCCATTTAATAGATTTTTTGGAAAAATTGTATTACTATATAGACCTGTTGTGTGCGTAATTAAATTCCATTCGACCAAGCAAGCGGAAAACAGCTGTTTCCCGGACTAACTCTACGCATGGAAAATCTTTTAAACCCGGATAGTCAAGCGTAAAGTATTTTTACTGCGTGTATAATTCACTCCTGAAGTAAAAATGTTAATTATTCTTCTGGAACTCTAATCCTACCCGTTATATCATTTAAAGGTTAGATGTAAAGTTAATTGAGTGGCAGGGATTATAAAACAATGTAATTGGAATGCTTAGTTTTGGCGACTAATCTTCCAAGTGACAAAGTCAGATGATGGATGACACTGGCTCCATCATTATCATGATTATTGGTTAATCAATAATGGCTTTCCTCACACATTAATCAGTTTACTTTTGTGTGCTTCAATATGACATACTTCCATGCTATGCAATATATTATACAGGGTGTCCCGGAACACTCTTCCAATATTTTAGGGCATTGTTCCTGAGTAAGAAATATATCTAAATATAATATTTAAATTGTGCGCAAGTCTATATTTACTCACACAGCCGCCATTTTGTTTTTTCACTAATTTTTTTTAAGTGGTGCAGGGTATATTTCAATTGTATATTTTAAGATAAACCCTCGGGGACGAAATATTTTTGTCTTCTAGGTTATTGTTTATAAGAAAACTCTCACTCTCTTATTAATTTCCCCAGCTCACGGAGTACATTATGGGAGCTTCCCATGTGTCAATCAAAACCAAATGTAGTTGAATATAGAATGTACATTAAATAAATATATCGATATATATCACATCAATCATAAATGTGTATGTATATTGAACCAACCATGGAATCACATCTTAAAAGACTATCAAAACTGATTTATATCTTGATAATACGATTTAATATGGCTCTTTTTGCTTCTGCAAGACAACACCGTCAGTGTTCCTTGCACTTCCATCGAGGTTTTCAACGTGGTTTTCCTGTAGCTCAAGAATGTGAGAACTTTTTGTTGAAGACCTCAACTTATTTATGCTCCCTAGGAATTGCTTTAATCGCGAAGTTAGAATATTAACTTTAATTTCCAAAATATGTTTAGTTTCCCCCTGTAAATTCTGCCGTATGTTAAAATAAATTAGAGTAGTATGTTTGGTTCTGTTGTTTTTGTGTATGTTAAAATACTTTTAAATTTTTGTCTCTGGGGGTGCCTGGGGATTGGTATGACTGTTTGAAATCGACTGGTTCATTACATTCGTTTATTGTGTTTAAGATAGATCTTGGGTCAACATTTTATTATTGTAAGTAGGTGTATTTTCAAAAAATATTTGGTGAGAAGACATAATATTGTGAAACTGAATCTTTAGTAATGTTGCTCTTACGAGCATTTGAAAGAAGTAACTAGTTTACAGTTCATTTGATTGAGACTGTAAAGCATCAGGGCTAACGTGTTTGTCCCTTTACACTCATGTTTATAGTTACATTTACAAGAATTGACACAATCATTGGTTTAAGATATTACAGAATTCTTTGCTGGTAACTTAAGATAGTAGAACCCCTCATATCCGGCCACCACGGGACCAACCCCTGGCCAGATAAACCAAACTACTATTAAAATGACTTCTTAATAATAATATGTAATCAATATATGCAGTCAAAAGTATCACTCAAGTCTGTTCTGATATTATTTTCAGAAGAATAAACATATTTGTACGAAGGGAAAAAATTATTTGTAGGTTAAAGCTGTTAAATACAAGTAATATGATTCCATGTAATAATAGCTATTAAATAATAATTAAGGGAGGTTAAAATGACAATAAATTGGCCTTGATCAGTAGGACTTAAATGGTACATCCCTTTCTACTCAACTTTCTTATCCATTTTATATAATACCAAAATTGATTAATGTACCGTGATAAACCCTCTTTGGAAATAAATAACCAACTGATCAGAGGTTAGGGCTACTAGCTCAACTAGGTATAGTGACTAAGTAAAATGCATAAACAAACAGATAAATAGTGAGAACGCTCAAGTTGCAAAGATTAGTGCTTGCATCTACACGTCTGCAGTTGTGAGAAACACATTTTGATATTGGATTCCTGGAAGGGGCCGGATAAACAGAGGACCAGTAAAACCAAGGGCGGATATCAGGGTTCTACTGTAACCTCTCATAGTTCGTGATGGTTGACTTTCACCACATTTATCTTTACTATTACAAATATTATATTTTAAATCCTCTAATGAAAAAATAGTTGTAATTGATTTGTTTTCATTCCAGGCGTTCGTGTTTCACGTGGAGAACCACCCAAATGTCACATGGTATCACCAATGTGTTCATTTCGGCGCCTTCTCCTCTCCGACCCATGAGCTGGCTTACTTCTTCTTCGGCATGATTATGATGTACGGCCTGCCACTACTGGTTATCATATTCTCCTACGCATCAATCCTAGGAGAGATCTACCGTCGCTCTAGGGAACCTGGAGGTATGATAGACTGTAGTAAATTAAACTCCATATTGTTAGTCCCTGAACTGTGGTTGCTGTCGATCACATGTTATTTGATTAGAACACGGGAACATGTCGCAACAATCGTGGCATCTTCAGCGTGTTAATGTGAAGTTCTACGAAGGCATTATGGCCTATTTAAAGTTGACAATTATTAGTTAGATTTATTTAGTAACATTTATTGCATGTAAAGTAAACATTACATTTTTGAGCCTGTTTTCACTGTATTTGATTTTGGTGATTTTTTTAATGCGCTGGACGTATAATACCTGATTTTAAGTAGGTTTTTTAATCTGTGTTAATCATATGCTAACAATACCAAAGTAAAAGCAATCGCTGATAAATATTTTGTTTAATTTGCTCTTATAATTTCAACATTGGTTAAATGAAATTAAACAAATGATAAATAGCCTTCCGTCTAAATAAACTCGCTTATAATAGGATTTAACTAATTTAAAAATTGTTTACAGATGATCGATTAGTTTAATAGAATATAAGGCATTTATAAAGCCCCTTTCATGCACCTATGGCTGCCACAGAGTGGTTCTTTAAGTACATTGACAAAAAAAAGGGTTTTAAGCACTGCGGCTGCAATATAAAATATATAATTTAAAGTGGCGACCGCATGTGTATAAAGGGCCTTATCTGACTGAGCTGATAAAATGTGCAGGTATGGTTTCACCTTTCAATGTTGATATGTCACAGCCAGAGGGGCGGTAAAGCTGTGGAACTCAATTGATCACACTATTGGGAGTACTGAGGTGCGCTACCTAAAAAATAAAGCTTTCATTAAACTTGCTAAACGGAAGGGTATTTTACCCCTAACCTCTTTTCCCTCTTTTTGTTATTTACTATTTAATATTTAGGAGCCCTTTAGGTCACTAATTATTTAAAATAATATAAAATATATGTTAATTTACTGCAATACAGCAAAAGGTTTAGAAGCTATGCCAGTCTCTCCCCCACCAAGCAGTAATCTCTACATTATTTTACCTCAAACTTTGTCGTGTATAAGTAGAGGAAGCTTATTATGCGTAATACTGCTATTGTCTGTAGACTTAGAAATTTACACTTGATGTCTTTTAATACCTTGGGAGTTGTACTGCGTTGCTAACATGGTAACAACAAGAAGTGCTACAACGCTTGCTTGGGCTTTGTTTCGACTCTCCTTACCTTAATAATTCTGAAATTATTTAATTGAATTAAAATAAAAAGATTTGAGTTGTCGTTCGCCTTTCGGTATTTGGGGTTTGAGTATGTCCTTTAAACATGGATTCAAAAAACTACACGATTTCTTAATAGTTATCAAAATATTGTTATGTATTGCAACTACTAGTATTTCATAAGTTATAGCTAGACAAAAAGCAAAAATAAACAAACCAACACAGTCCTCAATACATCAAAAGTTAGGCGAATTATTATAACATTCATTAACATTTATGAACGCGTTATGTATACGATAATGTAATGTTGGTGAATAATTACATCCTTTCACTTATTCTTAGGACTCTGGCAACAGCAATCATTTCGTATATTATTCGTTTATGAAATTATATCAACCGTTACTGGAGGAACAAGAAAAATCCGTGGACAAATATAGTGTTATGCAGTTGTAAATTACAAGCGTGGAAATTCGTATTGTACTCAGATGAGTTCCATAAATGATGAAAAGATTAATTTATTAATGACTTGTGCAAATCAAATATGATAGTCCATGTTTTATCAATCCAAAAGCGGCAATGCATGATTTACGCTTGAATACAGTTGGCTTGTACAAGTATACTTCCACATTGAGTACCAAATATTTATTCTATCATATCATAAAGAAGAGATCTAATTATTAAAATAGTCATCGAAATATGATTAGAAAATATACTTATTGTATGCCCACATGTTCACTTATGCACGCAAAAGGTCAAAAATCATTTGAATATCAGAATTTAATTTAATGTAAAAACATTCTTAAAATGCTATCCAGATTACGTTAAAAATAGGACAAAATTATTCTATCTCCATTTATAATCTATTTTATGAATATTTGAGTATAAAGAGCTATAGAAACGTTTATTACATTCTAAGGATATTTCAATCAAAGGAATGGAATAGTTCAAGGAAACTGCATTGTAGCATTTGTGCAAAGGTCACTCCCTTTCTTTTATGAAAACATAATTACATTATTGTAGTTTTAATGGAAGAAAGTGCCTTTCTCGCTTATACTTTTCCCAATCAAAATTGCATCATGTTTTGAAAATATAATTTTCTTCTACGAGTACATTTTTATACCCGATGCACCAAGGTGGTCTTATCTGTCACTACTTAGGTATTAAGTTTTAAGTCTATTTCTTAAGGGATTCGAAAGTTATGGATAAATTTGTGAAAATCAAGCAACAGAAAACCAGCAATTTTAGACCAATGTTTTTCATATGATGTTTTTAAAGCCTCCAGAGAGCTTTTTTACACCCTGTATAGTATATTTTTTATGCAATGGGATTGCGACAGTATATAAGAGACATTTGATATCACCGCATTTAAAAAACTGTCCTTTTTTTATTTGTTTGCAAATGCTTTAATTGAACATAGCGCCAAAACTACCAGCGAGAATCTAATGATCCTTTTTCTTTTCAATCCTCAATTTGAAAATAAATAATACCCTCCCTCCGCCTTCTCCAACAAATCTCTTTTAAGAAAATGAGGATTAATCGTTCACACAAAACTCTGCCTTTCATTACAAGACAACTCGATGTATCAAAATTAACGCCTCACAGGCCAAATCTCTCTGGGTAAATGATATTGTAAGACATGTTTAAACGGTTTTAATACTTTATAATTTACAAGAGTGTTAACTACAGTTTGGTTTTGGCTGGGGTTTAAACAAATTTTGCTTATTTAAATTTTAAAAACATTGAATCACATTTTTTTTTCTTTTATGTAAATCTAAAAAGTGTTTTGATTGATTGCTAAATCAAATATCTAACTATGTTCGATAACACAATTCTAAGACCGTCGTGAAGTTAGCGGCTCTTTTCATCGGCGCTTTTTCGGATAGTAATAGATATGGGTTGGTACGCCTGTGGGCACCACAAACGTGTTTTGCAGGGATGTCGGAAACGCAATTCAATGACAATACGGTGCGAAATGATGTTTTTACATTTATATAATGTCAATTATACATTGATAAAACGTGTATACAAGTTAAAACTAATTAATTGGCGTATTTTAAAAGGCATATTTGAGACCGTACTGTACATTATACGTAGCTATGGTTTATCATAACGTGATCAATTAAAACTCCGAACATAAAAAAGTGCATAATCTTTTTCCTAAGCCCATCACACCACCTTTAAGCTATTATAATGGTAATATACAATGTGTAGAATACTCAGTATAAATATGATTGAGGCAGTCCCCTAAATTACGAAGTTATATGCCAAAGTTAATGTGATGGACTTAGGAAAAAGATTGTGCACTTTTTCCTGACGCAAATTCCTATCAGCCATATAGATTTTGCCTTATAGCTTCGTAATTCACTGGACTGCCTCAATCATATTTATACTGAGTATTCTACACATTGTACATTACCATTAGAATACATCAAAGTTGATATGATGGACTTAGGAAAAAGATTGTGCACTTTTTCCTGATGCGAGTTTCTATCAACTATATACATTTTGCCATATAACTTGGTAATTTAGGGGACTGCCCCAATCATACTCATACTGATTATTCTACACATTGTATATTACCATTAGAATACCTAAAAGTTGATTTGATGGCCTTAGGAAAAAGATTTTGCACTTTTTCCCGACGCAAATTCCTATCAACCATAAAGATTATGCACTTTTTTATGTTCGGAGTTTTAATTGATCGCGTTATGTTAAGCCATAGCTACGTATAATGTACAGTACGGTCTCAAATATGCCTTTAAAAATACACCAATTATTAGTTTTAACGTGTATACACGTTTTATCAAGGTATAATTGACATTATATAAATGTAAAAACATCATTTCGCACCGTATTGTCATTGAATTGCGTTTCCGACATCCCTGCAAAACACGTTTGTCGTTTGTGGTGCCCACAGGCGTACCAACCCATATCTATTACTATCCGAAAAAGCGCCGATGAAAAGAGCCGCTAACTTCACGACGGTATTCTAAGGCAACCGGCAAATGTTGCTCGGTTATTATCTAAATACGTTTGCTAACACAGATCTTGTATTTCATTAGGGTGGAATGTATTGTTATGGATTTATTTATCGGCAGTTCTCGTTCTTTTTATTCATAGCAAAAAAAAATCAAACTGTGTTAAAATGTTTATTTTCATTGCTGAAAACTGTCATAAAAAGTTTAAGCAATATATCTAGTTTAGTTACAATATACAGAATATTAAAATTACTTGTATCGTTTTTTATGCAAACTAGTTTTATTGATTCATGACAGTTTTAGCTTTATACTTAAAATCTTATATCAGTACCATATGTTGTATTTTCTGTAAAACTTTGGATTAACATTATATACATGTGATTTTAAATATGCGACAAACAATTGGCAATAATTAAAAAAAAAATATTATGGCGGGATTAAATTGATTGATTTCTTTCGCATAAAATACACTGCATAGTATCCACAATACACATCTGCAAATGCTCTGCACAACCATAGACTAAGGAAACAAAATTAATAAGACTTAGTTTCCTTAGTCAATGGCACAACGCAGTAAAATATTTCGCCCGATATTGTATACAAAGAGTTATTGAGGAAACTCGAAATAAAGCTGGAATAGCTTAAACAAATACAAACGTAGAAATCCATTGTTATCGTAAACGGACAGTATGCCTTGTTGAATAATAACTTTTCTATAGCTTACGTGTTGCAATTCGTTAAACTTTATATTTGCATTCAGTTTGATTATTTTTTACACTACGTTTGGTAATTTTAAAATAACAATCACAGAATATAATAACGTATATAGCTTCAGCATGATCAACTAATTGTAAAGTGTGTAGTCTGTTGACACGATATAACATATACAGCGGTTTATTGTTTATTTTATGATTTGTATATAAATTTGTAAACTACCAACATACCACAACACCTGCAAACTACGGCATGCACAAACGCTTCTTTCAACTCGATTTTAGGTTCAGAGTTAAATACGTACTCAACCCCACTAAAAATATTTCTCTTAATGAATACTTGAATTTGCTGCTGAAAGAATAAAAAAAACTGTTTGTATAACCATTTAAAAGCATACTACGTAGTATAAAACCCTCAACTTCATGAAAATATCTCGTTTAACAAGACATTATTAAAATTATAATAAATTGTGGGATAACAAATGTTGCGTTTTGCAATCTTTGAAACAGTTAACAACATAATAATTTCCACAACCATAATATTATTTATTGTAAATTAATTTGTAAATTTAGTGTATAGTTTTATTATTTTAAGATAAATATAAATAACATTTTATTCATAAAATTTGTTTGGATTGTGATGTTTTATTATAGAACTACGATCACATATTTAACATTCGACATAAGCTGGATTTTAATTAATTTGAAACGTGGCTTTTCTTAATTAAACTAATGCCAAAGCCACTTCGTTAAGATGTTAAGACTTTACTAGTCTAGATAATTGAATGGACGTTTTGAGTAAAACAACAACTTGTTTTCTCTAGTTTCTGCAAGAGCTGAGACTACTGATTAAACATGCATTAATTCTTTGATAAATAACCAATCTCAAGTTTAAAGGAAATGACTAAAGTGTGTATTTTATCATTCAAAAAAGATCTACCATTTAATAAATATCTATCTTATTACTTAAATTCACACTACTATTATCCTACTAATATTATAAATGAGAAAGTTTGGATGTATGGATGTATGGATGTATGGATGTATGTTTGTGACAAGTGAACGCGAAAAATACTGGTCGGATTGGGCTGAAATTTGGCATGATGATAGCTCACATTCCCGATTAACATATAGGCATATTCTTATTTCAAAAATCCTTTCGGGCTCCGCCCCAGTGGCTCTGAAGTTTCCCATGTTAACCTTATGAGAAATGGAATTATTGAATCTTAACAGCTGTTTCAATTAAACAAGTTGGTTCTGTTCTATGATGTTCAATAGCATTAAAGTTACAAGGATTACCAACAGGGTGCAGCACTATTATTTCTTTTACATTTATGACAACAGCTAATTTGCAACCAAAAGGTGAGTGAGCGTAGCGAACGAACTTCAACCTGGAGGCGAGTTAGCGTAGCGAACGAGCTAACCTGAAGGCAAGTGAGCGCAGCGAACGAGCTCCAACCTAAAGGTGAGTGAGCGTAGCGAACAAACTTCAACCAGGACGTGATTGAGCCATGCGAACGAGATAATCTTGAAAATTAAGAAGTTAAACGGGGCAAAGCCCGCGGGTTACAGCTAGTTTTATCATAAAAAATAATTTACATCTATTGATGATATCGAGACTGTGTTATGAAAACTTTGAAGTAGCAGGTAAACATAAACATAAACTCATACTTTTCTTCAATGTAGAAAATTAAGACACTCGCCTGATTATGTCTGTGTGTGGGGGGGGGTTGCCTGTATGTGTGTGTGTGTTTGGGGGGGGGGGTTGCCTGTATGTGTGTGTGTGTTTTGTGAATGTATTCCAAGCTACATACCTGTGGTCCAAGTTTTATTATACTCTTTGCAAGTAAAGTTATATGAACATTAAATTTTCAATGTAAATTTAATAAAATAATAGACAAATTTTACATTTTACAAAACGGCTTAAACAATGTTGATTAAAATGTTAGTCTATTATCGTCCTTTGAAATCTTAACAAAATGTTTTTACAACGATTATGGTTCAAAGTTTGTTCAAATTTTTGTGATTTTTCATAAAATATCACAGTTGCTCCCACCTAACACACGTAATAAGGTGTTATTGACAAGCTAATAGGAGAAAGTACAAAACAAGTAAAAAAGCATGAGAAAAGACAGAAGGGAAGCAAATTTAATTAGGCTAAGTAATTATGCTCCTTTCACAATTCACTTCCATTCATTTATTACTTTTCGTTCATCTAATCTCAATCTTTCAATATTGTATCAATATCAGCATGTCAACCCTGTAAAAATGGTGTAACCGTAAAATAAATAGATTCATTAATTAATTAGTTGTTCACTTATCAAATCTTGTGATGATTGGGGGTACAAATAAAATAGACCACCACTTACTATCTTATGTAAATATTTACCCTTATGAAGTAAATAGATAGTGGTATATAAAACAGTAGAACCTTCTTCAAGAAGAACTGGTAATATTGGAATTAATATTAATTTGAAATAACAACTTCACCAATATTTCTGAATTTTTAATTTTTATGAGGCCTTTCGCCAGCTATGCTGGCATCATCAGACACATCACAAAACAGTTTTGTGATGTATTTTTGTGATGTGTCTGGATGATGCCAGCATAGCTGGCAAAAAGCCTCATAAAAATTAAAAATTCAGAAATATTGGTGAAGTTGTTATTTCAAATTAATATAGTAGAACCTTGATAACAAGACTCTCATGGGGATTGTAAAATAAGATTTGTTATCAAGGTTGACTTCTTATCGAGGTTTGTAATAACATGTGATTAACGGTAAAATAATTTTAAGGATATTTGAAAATGACACTTGTTATCAAGGGCGACTTGTTATCGAAGGCGACTTGTTATCAAGGTTCCACTGTCTGTGTTTTACGTGTTACTTAATTTTTATTACATTTATATTTTTATTCAGTTTGATAATTACTCTGATTTTTTTCTATATTCAAAACTTATATGAGTCGGACAGTTTATTTATTGCGCTATGCCATTTATTCCAAATCAATTGACCAATGTGTCGTATGTTGTTTATATTCTTCTTTTCCATTCCCTTCCACTCAAATTTATTTGTAAAATTATACATGTAGCCCCCTTTTGGAACTGCAGTGAGGCTGAGATATACGATAAACTAATGTTACTCTTGGCTCGCTCAAGATTGTAAATCCCGCAGAAACTGGGGACCAATAATTAACATTGGTGACACTAGCGCCAGTTTGTCTGAGACTCTAAGAAGCTTTTAAGCGCAACTATTTCTACAACTGCAGCATTTATATTTTCATTCCAAATTCAATTTTTGCATTATAAATGTACTAAAATACTTGATAAAACTATCACGCGAAGCAGGCATTACATTTGTATGAACTGCTTTTCAACAGGATTTTACACTTAATTATAGTGTAACGTGTGATCATTATATTTTATATTTTTCTTACCATTACAGTCGATGAACACACAAAAGATTAATATGGTTCACACTGACTTTACTTTCATAATTTAATACTTTAATCTGAAATGGTGACCATACGAATGCAGGTATATTAAGCCAAGTATGAATGGAGAAGAGTGTAGGATGAGTGCTAGCCCCGGGATGAGTGCAGGATCTTGTAGTCTTGTCGTAGTCTTGTTAACTAAAGCCGACATATTCCTTAGACACAGTTGTTAATTAATAGCCTATACAGTCAATGACAACTAAGGGACCTATAATGTATAGTGGGATCTGAACCAAATGTTTCCTTGTAATAAGGATAGTACTGCGGATAGTCGTAGTACTCACTTGTATGGATGTTAATCCACACCAGGGATTATCACATCCACATTGCATTCCGATAAATATCCACAATTCGTGACCTCCTAGTAGCTGGATGACAGGACGATGCCACCTTCCTAGTCATCATAGTTCATTTTACATGGTTTAAGCTACCCCATTTTTTTACATACGCTACAACCGACTGGAATTCAATAGGCAAAATCCACAAAAATGTGTTTTCTGCCTGAAGTATAGGAAATAACTATGTTGTGCATTTATATATTTTACCTACGACCGTTTTTTAAAGTAGCCATTTCAGTCCAGTTCTTAGAATTGAAAAGTTTCACTTTACAGCTGTTTACTTTCATATCCGCATAGTTTCATTTCATATCCGCATAGTTTTCTCATATCCAAACAGGTAACGGACCAATGAGGTTCAAGTATTGAGAGAAAATAATTAAAATTGTAATGCTTCGAACGTCAACTAATCAGCTGATCAGCTGATCAGTTGACCAATTTAATTGTTGATCCGACTTGTTCATGTTGATACTCGCGTATTCTTAATTAAGTTGGTGGAAGTCCAAAAATAAATGAAATATTTGCCGAATTGTACCTGATACAATATTATTTATGGTAAGAATGCTGCTAGCAATGTAATATTTAACGAATTTTAACAAACACGTCATTACAGGAAATCAGCTGATTATACAACAAGTCGTTGCATCACTTTCAGTGGCAATGACAATACACGAAAACATAACCTCTCTAAAAAGTTATCAGTAGTGATTGTTAGTAGTTAAATCCAGATTGATAGTAATTAAAAAACGGTCGGAGGTAAAGTAGTGTACGCAACTCGCGTTAATAGTCTTTACGACACTCGTAGAAGTTTTAAAAAAATGTTTTTTTTTGTTAAATGTTCTACTCGTGTCGTAAAGACTCACTTAACGCAATCGTTGCGTAAACTACTATTGTTTGCAATCCAAACTTAGACCGATGTTTGTTGTTATCCTCAGAGGGCTTCAGGAGGTCCAGCCTTGGGTTCCTGGGCCGTGCCAAGAGCCGGACACTGAAGATGACCATCACCATTGTGTTCGTATTCTTCGTCTGCTGGACTCCGTACTACGTCATGTGTGTGTGGTAAGATGACTATGTACCTCACATAGATATAATAAGTATTAGTCAAACAGTTATTGCCTTGAGGAAAAAAACTATCCTATATAATGTTTTGAAACTTTTATAAACAGTACTTACCCTACGATTGTTACATTTTACCCTATAGAGATTCACCATCATATAAACACCAGTCAATACTCACTATTGAAATTGAAACGGATAGATAAATTTTAAAAACTGATAAGACTGTAATAACTTTACTAAAACAGTGACACTGAGTGTACGTATTTTAAATGTAGAATCAGTTTAAGATGGGTTGAATTATGTGTTAAGCTTTGTTACTAAAATCAGTTTCGTTACTGTATTTCCCTAATACCGTTGTAAAAAAAAGTATTTTTGTGATTTTTTTGAAAAATTGTATTAAATATGCTGTTTATTTTATGACATAGTAAATCATTTGAACAAGTAGTTTATGTAATGCTACTCTTGGATGATTGCAGAAGAAGGACTGATTTTTTGTAAAGGAGTAAAAGTTTATCTAAAAAATAAAGTTGATATTTGAGATAAAAGAGGATTAAGTGACACAAGGTGATAAATTATTCGAAGGACTAGATGGGTAAAGTTGATATAAGAAGAGTTTAGAGAGAGAGAGAGAAACACTTATACAATGGTAACAATAGAACCTTTAGAATAGAACATAAGTTTTCATAATGAAAATAGAGAAACTATTTTATTTGGTTACGAACACATGATTCTAGGAAGAGAGTTGTAAGTAAAACAAGGAGCATAAAATATGCAAGTTTACTAAACAACTTTCATTATTTAGAAAAAAGAAACCAAACTATAGTGAATTTCTAAGTGAATATCTTTTAACTTAATATTGACAACCTAGCCAATGTCTTCTTGGCAGAACCAACTGGATTTCACTCATCCTAATATTGTAAATGTATCCTCTATCCCAATAACTGGATGTCTCTCATTTACTACTTTTTTTGTAAATATTTTCTCGGTGTCACCAAATGAATTCCCTTAATCAGCTATTTCACATTTCCTCTTTACACCATCAACTCAATTAAAAAATTCCACCAAACTAACTCCAAACTAACCAGTTTCAGGCACTGGTTGTTTCCAGCTACATCCATTGTTGATGTCATGTTGACTACACACTCTTGAGTAGGCCTACATTTTTGTCAAGCTAGGTTTCTTCTCGCCGTAATCTTAGATGACTCTCAACTGACATCAAGTACTGTTTCAGGCACTGGTTTTTCCCTGCCACAACCATTGCTTATGTCATGTTCTTCTTAATGTTAACTTAATATAATGACTCTCAATTGACATCAAGTACTGTTTCAGGCACTGGTTGTTCCCTGCCACAACCATTGCTTATGTCATGTTCTTCTTAATGTTAACTTAATATAATGACTCTCAATTGACATCAAGTACTGTTTCAGGCCCTGGTTTTTCTCTGCCACAACCACTGTTGATGTCATGTTGAGCACACTCTTGAGTAGGCCTACATTTTTGTCAAGCTAGGTTTCCTCTCGCCGTAATCTTAGATGACTCTCAATTGACATCAAGTACTGTTTCAGGCACTGGCTGTTCCCCGCCTCCGCCAAGGACGTGGACCAGCGCGTACAGCGAGGATTGTTCCTCTTCGCCTGCACCAACTCCTGCATGAACCCCATCGTCTACGGCGCCTTCAACATCAGGACGCGGCGGAGGACCCCCGGCCAGGTACGAGGACGAAGTGTATCCTCTACAGCTATCACATGCGCCACTGACATTCGTCTGCCTGCTTTGTCCATCAGCCTGCGCAACGTCGAGTGACCCGAGACCCAGTCGTTCGAGAAGGCTAGGGCTGACTTGGCACCTGGAGGGGTGTACACCTCCTTGGCTCGCTGTGGCTGTGATTATCATTGCCATTGTGACCACTCTATGCTCTAGAATGAACGCACATCGCGAAAGTTGTCTCTCCCTATCAGTGACTGATTAACAGTGTGTTAAATTTATATGGGTTTTTAGCTTCAAGGAGGCTTTTTCTTCGTAAGACACGTTTTTTTTCTCGGTTAGATTTGTTTAGGATAGTGTTTGTTCTGCTTTTTGTAATGAACTATCAATTATTATTTATTATCAATTATTTAAGATGGGGACGCCACTATGTGCGTATTTTATATACACCCAAATATGAGTGTAGGATGAGTGGCGCGATCTTGTAGTCTTGTTAGTAACTAAGGCCGATATGTTCCTTAGACACAGCTGTTAATTATTAGCCCATACAGCTAATGACAACTAAGGGACCTACTGTTTAGAGTGGAATCCGAACCACATTTTTTCCTTGGTATTTAATAATTGGTCTAATTATCAGGATAGTACTGCCTATAAATATCCACAATTCGTGACCTCCTAGTAGCTGGATTACAGGACGACGCCACCCGTCCCAACCACTATGCAAAGTCGAGAGCAGACATATAGCGTTTGTATGTATAATTTTCTACAATGCCATTCTTCACCTTTGCTATCATTTACTATATATACTCATGGTTAATGCTGCTGTTTTAAACACATTTTAAACATTCCATGGAAGAGTGTAGCTTTTAAAGAGTTTCCCTCTTTACAGGAGTAATTTTTGACAATGAATAAATTAATCATACTAACAAATTTGAGTTTATGTGCCATGTTATCGAGGTAACTAAGTCAACTTCTTAGATGGGGACTGTATCCCATCTACTACTACTGTAGGATTGTTAATAAGAAGTTTTATACTGATTAACGACTTCAAAGGCAGAATTCCGTGAGAGTACGCCTACGTTCTCTATCAGCTGGGGTCAGTTTTCTTTGTGAAAAATATTTTAAGCTAATTTTTAGGCGGAAGGTCCTGCAAAATGACAAAGGCTGGCAATATTTATCTGGGGTCTTCTACTAACACATCTTTAAGTCAGAACTTAGAGTGAATTTCGGGAATATTAATGTCGAAACCCAGTAAATAGAGTGAGGCAATAACATTCCACTTTAACATCCTTCTACTGTATTTATCGTACGTATTACACTCTTAGTATGCTACTTGTTCAGTGACTTTGATTCTCAAAATGTAACTAACAATTTCAATCATAAAATGGAGGGTTTTATTAAACCATTGAGTAACACTTTAAAAAACTATATAGAATGAAAGCACTACACCAAAATTACACATGATTTATATAATCCAACTTGGTAAATAACCTGAACTTAACAGACCCCATTTAGGAGAGACAAATTTTTGGCATAGCTTAAGAAAAAGCTTAAATTTACTAAATTACATTTTTACTACGGTATATCTTTTTACTATGAAGCAATAAAACTTTGGGTATATTTAAGCTAGAACTCAAGCGTGTAATGTTTACAATACAAACAAACAGTTTCAAACCGCTTTTAGCTTCTCATGTGAGAGAAACTCTGCAGAGAGTTAATTACATTTTGTTATCGGAGTTAAGATTGATCTTATGAGGAAACAAAAATAGTTTCGTAATTAAATGTTTGAATTTTAGACGTTATTGTGGGGTATTCTTGCGTATATTTTTAAATCCCTTGTTAACCAAAACCGTAAAATGAGTAGTTTAGAAGTAAAACTAATTAGATTTAAGACTATCAATCATGTTTTTGTTTTTATGAGGAAACAAATTTAGTTTAGGTTTGTATGCCACAAACCTAAAATAGATTAGCTGGTTTTACTCACGTCCATAGTAATTAATTAATAAAAAGAAATGTATAATAAACACTCATCTTGATATTAAAATAAAGTAGTTTACTAAAATGGATAAGTTGGGTTGATTTTTATTAATTAATCAGAACTATTAAGATTAACACTAACAAGTGACATCAACAGTATTTTTAATATTTATTTTTATTGTTAAGTATTTTTTAGTTGAAGACAATTAGTAAGAAAGCATTCTTGTTATTGTGAATCTTAACAGTTTTTGAAATGTGAGAAGTACACAATCCAGTTTATTTATTTATTTTAGTTTACTACTCAATACAATGTTTTTGTGATTTAGAATAGTTCATAAGGAGGAGACTTTTTATTAAATGTTAGCAATTTGAGCTGTTCATAGTAAAGTTTCAATTCGTTTTTATTTTAAGTGTTTTTATATTAGACTATGAAATATGTCGTTTAGAAATCCCATATATTTAACTTAATTGATCTTGAGAATAATGTTGTGTAGCAGTTACAAATTACTATAATTGTCATTCCTTCTATAAACTAGGAGTATAAATCACTCGGTTTTGAAAAGGATTAGATAAAAAATATGACGAAATGATCAACGGGAAGAAATATAACTAAACTTGACTATTTGACACCTAGTATGCATTTATTTAAAGTTTAACTCAATATTTACAGTATATATGTATCAAGCTTTTCAGACCAAAAAAATACATGTTTTCATGAAGTTTCCAAAAACGTACATTTAATTCATATCGATCTATTTTTAATGTTTTATTTACGAGTTTAATACTCTAGTGTTATTAGTTTTAACTCTACAAAAGACTTAACAATACCTTTTTTATACATATATTTAACAATCCTGAACGTTTGGTGCTGCTAAACTATTTTGTTAGTGGTTTAGGACGCTGCAAGGACATTTCCCATCCTATTGTCAGATCTGAAGAATCTTTTCATGAGCGGTTTTGCTGGAGTGTGCTGATTTTAATAAATAATCATCTCCTGTTGTGAGATATATTTTACAAAGTGCGCTTGATTCTTTGTTTAATAATACTAGAAGAAACCCACAGTTTCGATAGTTCGTAATAGAAATAAATACAAATACGTATTCTAAACTATAATATTTGTTATGCCCTATCTACCATCTTGATAACAAAGGTTAAGGACGTAAATATCATTTAGGAATCTATGAGTGGCTCACAAAACGATATTCTTTTTAATAGAAAAAATTGTGACAGCTAGTACGTATAGATAGAATGAATATTTCAGTAGGCCTATATAAAAGCCAATGCTATAAATTTCCAAATGGGAAAACGAAAGGAAACAAAGAGTTAATGTCTATACGCACTCCACACCGTTCATAAACATACATTAAAATTGCCTATAGCTAATACATAAGGATGATGAATCTATGTATGTTAAATCTAAGAATCCAGTTGACCTATATCATCCTGTAATTGCTGTACATATCTAGAAGTTCTGAGACAATGAAATGCAATTTCAGCCAAGCCTAGTCTTCTCGAACGGTCGTCAACAGCTGTGATTACCCACAATGCCATGCATTTCTGTTGTGATCCCAATGCACTTGCTCATTGCCATTCCTGACCAATTGTTCTTTTACATTCCTACGTTTGTAATGTATTTTAGTGTTTGTCAAAATATTTATGTAATCGCTACTGCATCCTTTTTCAGCTGACTTGCTATTGTATGTTATCAATAAATATTATTTTTACCTAGCCTGGTTGTTGTCATTTGCTTTCTGTTCCACGCACTTTGGTTTTTTTTCTGTCCGTCTTGGCTTGCAATGTTGTGATTTTCCTCGACTTGTGGGGTCAAGGCAAGGCCCCACTAGAAAAACAAGGCCATGCTGCAGGATTCATGACGTCACACTAGTGGATGGATTTCATTGATAAATTCATTGCCATTACCATTCCCATATGTTTTAGGTAAATAAACAAGCTGGCTGTTTGTAAGATTTTAATGGTAAGATTTTAGTACAACTATCCACCACTGTGACGTAGTGTTGCGCTGCCTATGCTGCAGCATGGCCTGTTTTTTCTAGTGGGGCCTTGGGTCAAGGATATTAATTAAGAAATAATTGTTTGTCTTTAGTTACTTACTCAGTTAAGAACCTTCACATCCTAGGATCTCATAGGCTATAGCCCGAAACCATTTTTCACATTAGTTCAAACTAGGACTTAAGGTTGTGGCATTAACACTTTAAAAAAACTGATAAAATCCATTGGGTATTGGTGGGATTTGAACCCCAAACCCGCACTCTACCTTTCGACCAGGTCCCCAATGTATCAGAGATTGGGAATTATAACCCATATTATCACCTGGCCAATAGGATATGGTAAATAAATATGATTATTTATTATTTCTTGGTTATTTTACCGCTACTAAATACGCAACCATTTATACCAGTTTTTCAATGACTATTAATACACTTTTAACAATTAACTTTAAAAGTTTAAGTTAATTAATTAAAACATTAATCAGCAATAGTCAATGCTCTAATCAACTTTTTTTTAATAATTGTTAACCATAGTGAACAGAGTTTGTAATATTATATTGTTTAACTGTAATTTCAATCTATACATAATTTGACCATGACATTTATTATATTCCCATTTTACTAAATAATATGTGAATATTGTGGGTATTTTGTATTGTGATTACTATATTATTACTTATTCTTTTTCATGTTGGATGATACCAATAAATTAATGATACTTGAGTGTAAATGGGAATGTTAGTTTAGTAAGTAAACGCTATTGAGCACAAAGAAACAAGTATAAAATTTTCAAATATGAATAAAAATAATACACAATTACATTTTGAATCACAACAAATAATTTTAAACAGACAAAAAAATCCAAACACAGAATCCAGTTAAAACTACAGAAATGTGTTTTTAGGACCAACTGGTGTGCAATTCAGAACCCCTTCATGTTGGTTATATTTTGGGGTTTTCATGTGGGTTGAATCTGTAAAGGGCCTTTAGAACGTAGCAGCCTTCAAATGGTTGTGGTGAGCAGCATTATTATGAATTGGTTATATAACGTGTTGCATATAACAATGTAAAGTTTGTACAAGAGTAACTTTAAAATCATCAAATATTCGTATAGGCTAATAGAGAATGTTATTACGTTAGGGTTCTTAGGGTTTATTAACTTGTTTACTTCCTGCAATTGTTTTCCTTGAGCCCTCTAGAAACAATTTAATTTAATTAAAATTAGTTGGTCTTAGTTTAATTATTTTTCTACGTTTAATACTCAAACTACGTAAACGGAAGTTAATTGTAAGTATTAATTTAGCAAAATAACCAGACTATTTCATTGATTGCTTGCTTTTTTTGTTTACTTAAAACACATTTTCATTTGTATTTCAAGCGTTTTGTTGTCCTAAAACTTTTAAGTATGTTTGCTGTGACTCCTCCTGAACTCTCAAAAAACTTAACGCAATTTTTTCCAGATTATAACGCTAAATAGTGCGACGATTTGAGTTGTCTTATTTATTTTAAATATTACTTCGTAATTATTAGAGTTAGAGTGTCTTACGGCACGTAATAATAGTAATGTAATAATATAAATAATTACTTACTTAAGTTCCCTAACAAAGTTAATTTATTTTTGTTCTTCTCAATCTTTAAGGGACCTCTAGTTCTAAGCATCGATGTTAATAAGTGGAGATTTGCTAAAAAATCAAACTTTGGTCGTACAACAATCGTCTTCAAAGTTTATCATTACTATTGACGGTTCAGCTGTGCAATTAAATTAGAATTTGTTCATTTATAAAAGAAAGAGATACAGGAAAATTTTATATTAAACTAATATTATTTGTATCTATTCTGCTTAACATGTGTATAAATTGAAGCTATTCAAAACACAAGGAAAATGAGCCTAAAAAGTCTTATTGAGATCTCTTGAATACTGTTGTGTTATACAGGGTGAGTTTAAAAGCTACTAGCCAGTTTAGTAGCTGTTACTAAAAATTCTCTGAAAAAAAATTTCTATTCGTCAATTTACTCATCTCCACGGATTTTGAGTGAACTAAACTGTAATACTAGCTACACACGTGTACTCACATTGATAGTAGTTTGTGTATTATAGACAATCAGGAACAGCAATGACGGAGTAAGTAGTTAGTAACAAAAATGTATATCGTACTCACTGACAAGCCTGCCTGCCTTTTTACTTTTTTCTGGCTAATAACTTGAGAAATCGTGGATACAAAATATTAAGCTGCAGACAATGAAAATCGTTTAAAAAGCGAATTTTACCCTAATGATTTATATGTAGAGGTGTTTCTGTCAACAGCGTAACCAGACAATAGACTCCAGGCACGATGCTGTTGATGTGGTCCGATTGGTCAGTTGGAGGAGGACAGCCTCCACGCCAGCAGCGCTCAGCGGCGGCAAGAGGAACTACTGTCACACCTGCTGCAACAGGCGGCAGTCTAACTGTGTGCTCAGGCTGGACGGGGTCAAAGTGATGACTCCTCAGTAGATTGTGTTAGGTGCTTAGAATCACTCTGGCAGCCAGGATAGGCAGTTTAAACTGGTGTGGATGCTCTTGTGGTAACATTCCATTGGGACGTTTTGGAGAGCCATTCCATAGGATAAGTGTATGTGCTGCAAGGATAGAACTTATAAAACGTATTCCAGTGCAACCCCCCCCCCCCCCTCTTAGCAACGTGCTCGCATAGGAAAATGTCAATTCGGGAAGAAGTTTATCCGAGAAGATGTCCATTTTAGGTAACTGATCTTTTTAGAACATGGTGATGATTGTTTGGGAGCATGATTATCTGGAATATGTTCATCCATAAATACCAAAGTACCCATGAACTTTTGAGAAAACTACAAGTCACACAACAGCCATATACTTAGAATTTTCGCCATGACGAGAAACCTTGCGCAAAACTATCCATTATTTCATAAATTGCCCTTTCAGGTTGTAATTCCTTTCTAAAGGGAACTTTCCATATACCTAATGTTAAAAATACCTCAGCTGTACTTATTTGTATGTTATTCTTTCAATTTATTAGCTTGTTAATATCAGGTGTGATTAATTTTTTGTATTATTGTATTCTTTTTTGTTTATTTCAGCTTAACTTAACCAACCAATAGTTTTATTAAACTCATGAAGGCAAACGTGGTGACGCTCGTGGGTAACAGCTAGTTTAGATAAATGCTCATTTGGAATATCCCTATTGAGTAAGACTCCTAGTTTGGTTTCCATTCGGAAACGATAAAACTCTTACTTATATAACTACTTAAGTGAAAATATTGCAAAGAACTTTTCTAGTTAGGACTGTTACTACTTTACCTCTTCGCTACTGACTTTATTAGCGAAAGATTTATTAGCGAAGATTCAAGAAAAAGGTTTGACTATATTGTTATCCTCCCAATTAGACAAACAACTGTATAAATTTTAAATTTCTTTATTAGTGTTGATTGGCTATGTTTTCTGGTGGTTTTTATTTCTGTTAGGGTCTACATTTTTAACACCACAATTTCCGTCATACATTTTTCATTGGCGTAAAGCTATTTCCTCATATTCATAATAATACAAAAATAAGACTAATTGTTTATGTATTTCATATATGATTTATTTTATTTATATGTTAGAAGTATTACAAGAGGCATTTAACCATGAATAATCTATGAATTACAGTACGTATTTTTTTTTATTTAATACATGTTTTATTTTTATATTCACCTAAAAGATAGAGCGAAATAAACATATAAAAACAATAAAAGGTACATATCTGTTATTTTAGAAATATCTATTTATCAGTATTCAACAGTAAAAACGACTCTTGTCTTTTAAAGACAAGCCAAAAAAAAACAATTACACTCAAACAAAATAGTGAAAAGAGATACAACTACTTCGCTTACTACAGCTGATCAGCTAACAAGTTAAGTAACTGATAGTTTAAATAAAAATAAAATTACATAAAATGGAAAGAACTGTTTATATCATACAGTATATATATACATCCTTACATGTATGTAAAAGGTTGTCACAAATTTTGCAAGAAATTCATTTACTATAATGTGCTATTCAGCTTAGGTATAAGATGTTTACTTTCAAACAATTTTAATATGATTAGTAGGTAGCATGTTTTATTACATATCTTATATCAATATTCTTTTGTTAAATGGTAAAGGTATAGGAATAATGTCGAAAAATAAAGACTTTTATGATCTCAAGACATGCCGAACTTTATTGAGCTCATTAAATTCATATTTTTATAATAAAGATTTAGTTATTTATATTTTGTTATGTTTTTCGAATAAAAATGTGATTTCAATGTTTGTTTCAATTGACCTAAAACTTTAATGAAGTAAATCATTCAAACTTATAAAAGGGTAGGCTGGTGGTCATTTAATTGATGACACTCGAAGATATTAAATATTCGTTCTCATATTTAAAAGGGATTTTCTAGATTCCAATAAAAACAGGTCCTTTGTGAAAATAAAGTAATTCCACAGTGTAATAGATATCCTACTAAAAGCTCTTTTGATTAATGATATTTTTATAATATTAACGCTACACTCAAGACCAAATTATTCTTCATCAATAGAAGTATATTGTTCCACAGAATATGTGTGTGTGATGGATAAAGATTGTGAATGCTAAAAGGTTAACAGTGTATTCTGTAATATATGACCAACTAAAGATGACGACGACTTGAATTGCGGTCGTCGTAACAGGGTGCCTTGTTGTGC